CAAAAGTGATGATGTAATGTGTTAGTCCTTTCTCATGCCGCTATGAAGAAATACCCAAGACTGGGTAGTTTACAAAGGAAAGAGGTTTGACTCACAGGTGCGCATGGTTGGTGAGGCTTCAGGAAACTTACAATCATGGCGGAAGGCACCTCATCACAGGGTAGCAAGAGAGAGTGAGTGCCAAGTGAAGGGATAAGCCCCTTACAAAACCATCAGATCTCATGAGAACTCACTATCAGAAAGCATGGTGGAAACTGCCCCTGCAATTCAACTATCTCCACCTGGTCCTGTTCTTGATGCATGGGGATTATTACAAACAAGGTGAGATTTGAGTGGGCACACAGACCATGTCAGTAAAAGGAAAGGAAAGATGGGACAGAGTAGTTTCCTTTCTTTTCAGTTCTTCCTGACATAATCTGTAAGCCAAAGGTAGGAAATGTTAGTAGCATATTTGTGTATGAAATAAAAACAGTTGAGTTAGTTTTGTGCAATGTTTCTACTGTTAAGAATAGATACATAAGGATGTATGAACTATGAAATAAGTTGTATAATTTTTATAATCCCATGTAAGAGTTAAATACTCTTCTGTTGATACTTAAAACCAGCATTGTACACTGTAAAGACGAATGGAAAAAGTCATGGAAATAATCTAAAACTTTAACTTTTCTTTATGGAGAATGACATTAAATAGTAAAACAAACAAACAAACAAACAAAAAAAAACCACCATGACATGAGAGAGCTTAAAGGAAGGGGAAAAGCTTTCTATTTTTGTACCTTTCATACCATTTTTATCCTCCTTTTCTTACAAGATCCCTCACATCTTCATTTTGCGCCGGGTGGTGCAAATCAGGTAGCTGGTCTTTGTGGGGGTGCTATTTTAGATTGGGTGATCAGGAGAGGCCTCTGAGAAAACAGCATTTAAACTGATAACCTAGAAATTAAAAAAAAAAAAAAAAAAAAGGCCTACCATGGGAAGGTCTGGGGAAAGAACATTCCAGGGAGAGGGTATAGCTAGTGCAAAGACCCTAAGGCAGGAAAGAACTTCATGAGTTCCAGAAATAGAAAGAAGACCAGTCTTACCAAAAAGTAGTTGTTAAGGTATAGAGCGGCAAAATGTGAGGTCAGAGTTGGGGGCAGGGACAGGGTGTGAAGGTCTTAAAAAGTCTAGAATAATTTATTCTATTTGGGTTAGCAGCCATTGGAAGGTTTCAGGCAGAGAAATGACATAAATGACTTACGTTTTAAAGGACATTATTCTGGCCAGGCATGGTGGGTGACCCACCTGTAATCACAGTACTTTGAGAGGCCAAGGCAGGCGGATCACCTGAGGTCAGGAGTTCGAGATCAGCCTGGCCAACATGGCAAAACCCCGTCTCTAGTAAAAATACAAAAATTAGCCAGGCATGGTGATACGTGCCTATAATCCCAGCTATTCGGGAGGCTGAGGCAGGAGAATCATTTGAACCCAGGAGGCGGAGGTTGCAGTGAGCCAAGATCACCCCACTGTACTTCAGCCTGGGCAACAGTGAAACTCTGTCTCAAAAAAAAAAAGACATTATTCCTGCAATGTGAAGGCAAGAGTGGACTCAGGGAGACCATCCCGAGCAGTTTATATCTGAAGAATTCCTTACCCTTCTAGGTAAAATTCATCATATTTCTCTTGTAATTTCTGTTATTCCACTTACGTATTTTCAAATATATCTTCCTGTGCTAGACAGTAAACTCCTTGTAAGTACTGACATTGTCTTATTCTTCTCTAAATCACTGTTGTCCCTCACTTTGTTTGCATATAATCACTTAAAATATTTATTGAGTCAATGATTGGAATAGGACTTAAACCACTCTTGCAGTAAAAGCTCTGCCCTTGGAAATTTTTTGAAATTAAGATTATTTAGAGGAGTCAAAAGGAAAGGTGTTATAGTAGCTATACATGAATTTGAACTAAATACAAAATAGTTTGTTAATTTAACAACTTTAGAGATTTGGGGAAAAATTACTGACTAGGTCATTAATGAGAATTTGAAATTCTACACTGCCTCTTCCTGAAACCGTGTGCAATATGAACCCAAAGCCACAGCTATTATTGGTGCTAATATTTTGTCCAGAAGTTCCAGCCTGTTGTCTTGGGACTATAGTTGACCTGAGACATATTTTGACCGGTTTGCAGCATATGTAAATATTGTGTGAATTAGTTGTTGGTGTTTAAAACTAAGGAGTTTTTGCATAAAGATCTGTTTTTCTCTTTTTCTTGAGAAGCAACAGACATACAAGAAACAAAAATCTTGGCTGCATTGGATTTGCATTTCATCAAGGCAATATTCAGCCAGACTTGAGGATGGCCACCGCCTTTGGAAGGGGCCTGTGATAGTCCTCACCTTTATTATAGTAGTCACCTTGCTCCGCTCTTCTGAGCTACCTGCCTGGCTCCCGTAGGCATTTGTGTTTGTGACTCCCCTTACTGAGACATATATGTACACTATTGTTATTTTAAATGAGAACTTTTTTTTGGCCAGGTAAGGCAGCTCATGCCTGTAATCTCAGCACTTTGGGAGGCTGAGGTGGGCGGATCACTTGAGGTCAGGAGTTTGAGACCAGCCTGGTAAACATGGTGAAATCACATCTCTACTAAAAATACAAAAATTACCTGGATGTGTTGGCACACTCCTGAAATCCCAGCTGCTCTGGAGGCTGAGGCACGAGAATCACTTGAACCCCAGAGAAAGATGTTGCAGTGAGCTGAGATCACACCATTGCATTCCAGCCTGGGCGACAGGGTGAGACTCTGTCTCAAAAAATAAAATAGGTTGGGCGCGGTGGCTCATGCCTGTAATCCCAGAACTTTAGGAGACCAAGGCGGGTGGATCATAAGGTCAGGACCAGCCTGGCCAATATGGTGAAACCCTGTCTCTACTAAAAATACAAAAATTAGTTGGGCATGGTGGTGCATGCCTGTAGTCCCATCTACTCAGGAGCTGAGGCAGAAGAATTGCTTGAACCCGGGAGGCAGAGGTTGCAGTGAGCCGAGATCACACCACTGCACTCCAGCCTGGCGACAGAGCAAGACTTTGTCTCAAAATAAAATAAAATAAAAAGAACTTTTTTTTTTTTTTTTTTTTTTAAAGAGGGTCTTGAATTATACAAATTTCTCTTTAGTTTTCTTGCTAAATGTGCTGGGCCATTTTTGCTTTCCTTGCAGCTTTCATCAACAAAAGCAGCAAGGTGGCCAGTCCAGATCCACCCAGATATGGGCTTGCCAGGGCAGGGTGAAATGCAGCTCCGATTTGTTAATGGATAAATTTTGAGGCTGAAGGCCCTCCAAAGAGTAACCAGAGGAGAGCTTTCCTACCAATTTGATCTATAGAAGGATACTCAGCATCTCTGCCCTCTTTACCTCCCAGTTACATGTCTGTTAAGATTTAGGGGTAGTGAGATTAAGGGACAGAATAAATGTAAAACTATCTATCATTATATACCCTATCTGCCTTCCCATGTGTTTAAATCATCAAACACTTCTTGTTTTTCCCAAAGTGTTGCAGCCTTCTCTGAGCCACGCTGCTGTATCACTGCTGAACAAGATGATTAGGTGTGTGATTGTAGATTGTAGGCATTTGAGGTAGTGCCTTTATTTGGATAGTGCCATTTAATCTATGATACTATTTTGTATGAAGCCACATGTTTGTTTATAGAGATGTACGGAGCAGTCCACAAAAGATACTCTGTGGCAAAGCTAATAAATGCTGTTTCCACAGAGCTATCTGAAGGCATGTAGAAGCACAATAGTGACAAACAGAAACCACAATGGGTCAATGTTGAGAGAATCCTGGGATTGGGAGGTGCTTTTTAAAGGCCAGAAGGGAAAGAAAATCAGTTTGGAAGGATTTACTACACAGCAGGTCTTGGTGGATATATTCAGTTCTGGGAACACTTGGCAGTACCAGGGTGCAGTTCATTTACCAGTGTACAGATGATTGAACAGAAACGCATTCAGGAGTCTCGAGTAAATCATTGCCGTATCTCACCCGAGCTGGTAAACTGGCGATGGACTGTACAACAGCCCAGCTGTCCAGAGACAGGGGACAAACCCGGGAGTCCGTTTAGCATGAATGATCGACTCCAGGGAGGGAGGAGGGAGAGCGTTCAGCTGGGGGCTAGGGAAGGGGGTCAAAGTCCAAGCTGCAGACAGGACAATAAGGCTATGCGTGGGACACAAAGCCGAACCGGAGCAGCAGCTGGCTGGCTCCCGGCACGCCGCTGAATCAAGCTTCGATTTGAGAAGGGACCTGGCAGCAGCGCCTGCACAGGCTGCTTCCTTCTCCCAGAAGAGCCTGGAAGGGCGCACAGGCTGGTGGCCCTCGGGCGAGGGCAGCCGGCCGCAGGCATCCTTCCCCCTCTCCTCCCTGCCCAGTAGCGCCAGGCAGTGTCCCGCCGAGGGCAGGGCGGGGCGCAGGCTGGGGGAGGGCGAGGTAGGGCCCAGCCGCGCGGCCGCGGCTGACGCAGTGCGGGGCGAGGAGCCGGCAGAGCCCCGGCGGGCGTGGAGTCCCCAGCCCGGCCGCTGGGAGGCCGCGTCCCCACCGGAGGGGGCAGGGCGCACTCACCCAGCCGCCCCGAGGCCGCCGGCGGCCTGTTGGCTTCTCCACCGGCGCGGTCACCGTTCAAGCGCGCTCCGTCCCCGCCCCAGATCCTGGGGGGTGAGCGGGGGAGAAGGGGCGGGCGCCCGCGAGCAGTGAATCACCTCCTCCTCTTGCTGCCTCAGCGCCGCCGCCACCTTTCCATTCAGTCGCCCAACATGGCTGGAGCGCGGCGGAGGTGAGCCGGCCGCCCGCAGACGCCCCAGCCTACTGTGCCCGAGTCCCGCGGTCCCGGCGGCGCCTCAGCTCTGCGGTGCGGAGGCCCAACGGCCCTGTTGCCGCCCGCCGCCAGCATGTTGGGCGCCCCGGATGAGAGCTCCGTGCGGGTGGCTGTCAGGTGAGGACGGGCTGCCGGCGGCGGGCGGCGGGCTGCGGGTTGAGGGCGCGGCAAGGACCTGGCTGTGGCCCGGGGCACCGGCTGCCGGGGTGGAGCGACCTGAGGGGCGTCCCGGCCGGGGTCTGCGGCTAAGGAAACTGAGGCAGTGGGTCCCCGCCGGCCTGGCACGCGCGGCCGGGTGCTTGCAGGGAGACTGCGCCGCCCTCACGCCGTCTGTGTTTGCAGGTGGCTGGCGGCTGCTCGGCGCCGGGTCCCTGGGGGGCGTCTTGACTTCTCCGGGGGAAAAGCCCCCGTCACTCCCCTCCGTCCCCTCGCCGGATCAGTCGCCTCAGGTCTGGCCGCCTTGGACTATCGCCTGTCCGGGAGGAGCTGCCTCTGCGCGGGGCTGTGGTGTTCTTTTTTATTAGTTCTAGAATGTCTGTCATACGTGTCCATGCAGCTCCGGCCTTCCCAGGCAGGAGACAAAGCATCTGACTGTCAGCGCCGGCGACCACAGGGCCCGCCGCGCGCCCACTCGGGTTCTGATGTCTGTACAAATGGGACATCTTTTTCAGCATCACGGGAATCTAGATATGCCGTCGCGTGTGGGTAGAAGAGACAGATCTGGCCTCTTGGGTGTTTGAATGGAAGTGAAATTTAAGGTAAAATCCACCGGGGAAAGGTCTACAGAAGGAAGAAAACTCTTTAGCCAGAGAAGGGTGAAAGGGGTGACTGTGTGAAACATACTGACGTTAGGCAGGGTGGATGCAATGTAATCGTAACGTTATACAGGCCAGGGTGTGAGTGGAAATACTAGGTACATCAAAATTATATTTCTGCCAATGACAGGCATGAGTATTCGATGTAATTTAGGCTGGTTTGATACTTATCAAGAAGGAAAGCTCTGATAGTTGCTCATGGAAAATTGCAACATCATCACACTGTGTGAAAAATTAATGAAGCATTCATTCTAGAGTAAGTGCGTGACTTTCACAGCTCTGAGAGTCTACTGTTAATTCGCTTCCTTTATGCTTTAAGGATTATAAAAATAATCTACACTCCAAGAAATTAGAAATTATTAACAATCTCCCAGTCTTGTAGTCTTTCCAGAAAATTATTTAAAAAATTCTCCCCTCTGAGCATTTCTATAGTTACTATTTTAGTGACACATCTTGGGTTGGGCATAGTAATGGCTGTTTTGTATACTTTGTATCTTTAATTAAAGAATAAAATGAGTTTTTAAGTTTTTTTTTTTTTCCCCACCTAGGGAGGTGACAGTTTTATGATTGGTTAGAATCACCTGTTAGAAGGCTTTTGAAGTTTTAATTAGGCCTTGGTTATTCTAGGGTTACTTATCCAATTGTTAGATTAGTCTGTTTATCCTATTCACCGCTACTACCTCTCTTTTAGCCCTTTAATACCAGTTAGTGACTGCACGGGGTGGAGAAAGGGGAAGGAAAAAGACAAAAAACCCAATAAGGGGCAATTTTGTTAGGAGAGCTGAGCAAGGAAGGTGAAGAAGGTGCATACAGTATTAGTGAAAACAATTTGTTTTTAGAAATTTGAGATTTTTATGTGTGAATTCTCTGGACTATCACAAGGCAGTTTGTTGACCATTCTGTTAAATCCGATGCTTCTTTGCCTGTAGAGACATGGATGACCCTAAACTGATGTTGACTGATAAATAACTTGTATTTTGTTTTGATGTGCATGTTAGGACTTTTTAGATCAATGACTGTCGGTTTGATTTTTGGAGAAAGGCTTTATAAAAACTTCAACATAACTTAGTAAGCCACATTGCAAAGATTCCATTTGTTGAATTCAGGACCCTTTCCTTTCCTTTCCTTTCCTTTCCTTTCCTTTCCTTTTCCCTTTCCTTTCCCCTTTCCTTTCCCCTTTCCTTTCCCCTTTCCTTTCCCCTTTCCTTTCCCCTTTCCTTTCCCCTTTCCTTTCCTCTTTCTTTTTTTGAGACAGGGTTTTGCTGTATCACGCAGGCTAGAGTGTTGTGGCGCCATCATAACTCACTGCAACCTCAACCTCTTGGGCTCAAGCAATCCTCTCATCTCAGCCTACTGAGTAGCTGGGATTACAGGCATGTGCCACCTTGCTTGGCTAATTTTTATACATTTTTGTAGATATGGGGCCTCCCTATGTTGCCCAGGATGGTCTTGAACTCCTGGGCTCAAGCCGTCCCTCCCAAATTGCTGGGATTACAGGCATTAGCCACTGCACCTGGCTAAATTGGGGATTTCTTTCATTAAATACATTGTTCTCTGAACAGAGCTACCCTGTAAACTTACTTTATATAGGATAAAAATAGCTTATGCTCATATAGCACTTTAGTATTTATAAAGTGTTTGGACTTATATTGTTCATTTATAACCATTATTTATTGAAGATATATCCTCATCTCTGTTATCCTGATTTCTGGGCTAAAAGTACTGATAACAGTTTGACTTAAACTGTGTGCCAGGATTAGTGCTGTGTTAAGATGTTTTATCTCATGTAAAGTCTTATTTATTCCTCATAACAATCTGTGACTTAGGTCCTGTTATTATTATGGCCATTTACAGATGACACACAGAAAGATTAAGTAAACCATCCAAAGTTAAATTGGTAGCAAATGAGAGAGCCAGGGTTCCAACCCAGATAGCTTGACTCAATAGACCAAGTTCTTAACCATTAACCCTGCAGAGGTGAGAGGCAAGAACATGGCTTTGCAAAGTTTCGCTTAGGTTTGGGTCAGTTGCCTGTTCTTGATTTGGTGTTAGTTCGGTTACTGAATGACTTTCACAGGTTATTCATATTTTGGTATTGCCAGAAAAGATACAGCTAAGACAGGACCTGAACTTAACTAAAATATTTCCTCAAATTATTTAATCTTTCCAGCATCCTGTTACCCTACCCTTCAGTTTGTGACAGCTTTCCTCAGCAGAATAAATAAATCAATACAAAATTGTATGTCTATATACAAAATCAACAAAAACATTTGACCTGCTTTTTTCCTTTAAGGAATAATATAATTGTGGAAATGCATCCTAGAGGTGCTTATGTTTTATTAGAGGCTTATCAGTATGTTAAAGCTGATGACTCTATTGTAGGTTTCTCAAGATAAGTGAATGGGTTATATAAAGCTTTGGGAGAAAGATGTTAAACAGAAAGTTTCTCATTTAGGGAGAGCAATTTTTACTCAGTTTCCAAAAATACCTTTTGGCAGTATATTTGAGATGTTCTGTGGGATTTCTTTCATTGAGATAGATATGGATTTGGATAATAGCCCTTGCTATCCAACCCCATGTGGCTATTAAGTGCTTGAATTATGATTAATGCTACTGAGAAACTAAATTTTTAATTTTATTTAATTTAAATGAGTTAAAATTTAAATTTAAAAACTGGTCCTTCATCCAGTTATTAGAAACTTTTGAGTATGTTTCGAATAACTTGGATCTACTTTTTCAACAGTAAAGTTTTGAAATCGAAATAGTGATACAAGTATTTCTGATGAAAATTTAGTGTACATATTGACTAGAACTGTAAGTGTAATAGATATACATTGGCTTTCAAAGACTTACTCCGAAGAAATGAATGTAAATATTTCAATTTTTATATTGACTATATGTTGAAATGATAGCACTTTGCTTACATTGAGTTAAATAAAATATAATTAAAATTAATTTTCACATTATATGTGTCTATTGGATACCACTGTACTATAACTTAAAAATGTGAGGAATACATTTAGAATAAAACTTTTCACAGACATACCATCATGGACTAATCACATCCTTAGATTAAGAAAATACCAAAATATTGGGTGTCTGGTTTTAGAGTGGATATGCACGTACGCACAGAAGTATATGTATGTATATATGTGAGATGTAAGATGTGATTCAACAGCAACACTTCTTTTCCTCAGAGTGCATGGGTGTAGGAAGGTATGGATTTTAGACTCAATAATCAGGTAGCTGGTTTCCTAGGAAATGTGGTAAGTTGAATGGATGGCTTAGATAGATGTCACCAACAAAAAAGAACAATAAAGTACAATGTAGAATCTATTCTTATTATCTAAGTATACTGAATTGAATCGAATAGTTAACTCAAAATGATAAAGTCAAACATTTCACATTCTAAATCTAATACATTATGAGATGATGTGTCTCTTTCTCTTCCTTATCTCTGACACAATAACTTTGAAATGTTTTTCCTTTTCAATAACTTTAGCTTGCAATATATGTCAAGAGTTTAGTGAAAATGGGAGATACAGAAAGCACCTTTGTGTTTTTGTGTTATTCGCTGTATGTAGAAACTAAAATTTCCTTGCCTGGCTTTATCAGAGAACTGTACCTATCCTTGGCAGTGAGTTTGTATTAGTGTGTAATGTGGTCTAATTTGTGTTTCGGTTTGCTGGGTTTTCACCTTACCAAAGCACTCTAAGGAGTGGCGTTGCTCAGCAGGCTTAGGGGCTATTTGGACATTCAGAAGCTCAGTTTTAGGTCTGTCACTAGCACTTATTTGCAATGTGACCTCACTATACTTTTCTTTTTCCCAATGCTTGTTTGTCAACCTAAAGATATCAAGAGTTGTAAGAACTTTTCATGTGCAGTCTGTTAAATATGATTTTAGTTGTTGTTAGTCAAACTGCAGGCACTAACAATGCCTCTATATTAACAGGAAGGAACTATTTTAATATTTCAAACTTGACTTTCCTAATAATATAATTTCTTTATGTATCCTTATTACAGAAGAAGAAACTTGTAGGCTGTAATGGTCTCTTTGTCCCATTCTGGTTATAATACGAATGAACAATATTTTATTTGCTCTACATTAAAATCCTGTGAGATAGCCTGGGCAGCTATTATTATCTCTGTTTTATAGAGGAGAAAAATGTGTCTCAAGGTTTATTCGCTACTAAGTAACAGAACTGGAACTCAAACTCAGGTTTCTGATATCTATTGCTGTGCTCTGAAACACATTTCCAAATATTTTTTAAACATTTTACTTAATATTTTCAATGTAATAAGGATCTTTTAAGTTGAAACTCAAATATACATGTGAGGTAAATTATTCGAAACAGTTTAATCTTAAATATGGGAGCAAATGAGTAAGACCTCCGAGAAACATTTATTTTATGGAAATAGATGATTATTTGGTGTTTGGTTATTTATTCCTTTCATCCTTAATGCAACAAATCTTTAAGTCCCTATTACATGCCAGACACTTTCCCACCACAACAAACATGACATGTGTTGTCCTTGCTTTCATGGAGCTTAGATCTAGCAGTACAATGCTTTTCAAACACATGAAATATGTGGGAATGAACACACAACAGAATCATAGCACATACCAGAAATGAAAGATAATTGTTAGATTTGAGTTTTTGCTTCTCTCTCTCTTTTTCTCAATGACATTTTTTAGTTCATACATTTCTCACAGACAATGATTTAAAAAAAAATTGTGCCCCACTTCCAAACATATTTCATACAAAATGCCCATGCATTAGGAGGATATTACTTATATCATGCCCTACTTATATGTCTTTGTATTTGGATGAGGAAATAATGGAAATGAAAGAGAGTAGACTGAAAAGCCAGCAGATAATGCAAGTAGAAAGTCAATGAAATAATTTCATTTACAAAATGTGAGTTGATAGTCATTTTTCAGA